ACTTACAAAAAGAAATAGATGTTTGTTGAAAATCATCTTGGCTAGAAAGAAAAAAATTTCAACAGCAATTGCTACTTCTATGTCTACCTAAAATACAAATTAAAAGAAAAAAAATCATACTGGCCAAATGTGATCAACTAAATGGAACGCTTTTTGGAGTATTCATAATATCCGATGAAAACACATTATTTACATTTTTGTACATTGCTGTTCACATGTACCTAAATAGGTGATAGGAACCTTTCCTTTGTTTCTTTAACTTTCATGCAAACATTTTTTTCTCAATGGAAATGTACATGATGAAATTAGATTTTGTGTGATTGAATTTCTCTGAACCCTGGTGAAGCACATAAGTCATAGACAAATCTTGGTTGTAATGTAACTTCCTCTCGACCCGTCATTTCATACTGATAGTATATCATTATCATATGTTCAATTGCAATTTGGTGCACATTTCATCAGTAGGAAGTCAAAGAATTTTCAAAGGTTTGTTTGCCATATTTATCACCCAGTGAACAGTCTGGGTCATTTCTAGGCAAGGTCTGTAGAAATTGGTGCCTACCTCACTGTATAACATAGTTATTAGGATGATGTTTATTGACCAAAGATACAACCATGTCGGAATAGTCTGTTCTGTTGAAGCTGAGATACACAAATCATCAGATATTTACCTGAGGTTATGTAGGTAAAGTCCTCTATCAACTGAGCTAAAGCTGCCCTTAATATCTATTATCTGTCTTTTTCATTGGATAGATGTCTTTTCTTTTGCATGGAACTTTTATGATTTACCTGCAATGTGTCAAAGAGTCCAAAGGATTTTCATCTTGTGTGATGAAAGAATGTGTGGGACCTTTGTGCACCTTCTCCCAACCTCTATAACCCAACTTATTCTCTGTTTTTCGGCAGTAGTATGATCTTTGCCAAATATCAGTTGGGACATAAATAAATGAGTCTAAACTATGTTCATTATGAAATAAATACTTCTCATGAATTGCATTTGAAAAATCGAAGCATCTCTCATGCGACATGCAGCCTGAAACAATGAATTATTTAGTTTTTCTTTGACTAGAAATCCCCCATCATTAAGTCATTATAAATTATGATAATATGTTCTATTATGCGATCAGTATCTATATTTTAATATAACAAATGAAACTTCTTCACGCTGGAGGTAAACACATGTATTATAAACCCATTCAACTTTGATTAATAAAACGCCAAACAAAATATAATGGTTTACCGGTCGCATCGTTATGATTACAGAGCCCCATGACACAATGGACAGAAGAAAAAAAACATACGAACCTTTCGTTCAATGAGGAAATGTTTCCCGGGCAGTCTGAAAAAAATCCAAAATCTGGAATGAGATCACCTTGTAGACAGCATAAAATGTCTGCAGTGTGCATGCACTGTCTGGCAATATCAGAAGTAGCGGACTTTATCATAATTTATCCATCAGGATTTCATCAATATATTCGTGCAAGAATTGCACTGTTTTTTAAAAGGAAAATTGACGTTATACAAAATGAAGCTTCTTATGTCATGAGTCAATTAAATGAGTAAATTGAGACACCTAATACAGCATATAGCAAAGGTGAATTATTGATATGACAGTCGGGTGAAACACTCGCTTTCCAACGTTACCTGCGTACAGTCACCGTTGCGGCTTTTTTCTCTAGTCGTTTACAACGCGCGCTTCTCGAGCGATCCGCGTTTATTCGCAGCTTGAATGCTATTGGTCATTAAAATATACAATTTTTAAAATATAAAAATAACCATAATAAATACTTCTATCAAACTGCTCTGTTAATGAAAGGTTGTAAAAGATGTGAATCATAAATATCCATATCTTACATTTAGAGATGGCGACATTTCATTTTGTCCGTGACTGATATATGACGTCATATAGCGGTAAAAATAATAAAAACATGGAAGGAAAGCACATGTCAAATAACAATATGTTGTAGCTGTAATTTAACATTAAAACCTATTCGAATGGTAAGTATATGGAAATCATATTAATGTAGTTGAAATTTGTTTGCGATAGGCTAACTATAGGAAACCCTGAGGGTTATCAATGGATAGTTCATGATCAGCTGAGGAAACTGACAGGTGAACCTTTTTTTCTTGTTATGTAACTTATGATGGGAAAGGTTGACTAGCCTACAGCTTGATAAATTAGGAAATATGGATAATAATGATTATTATTGGTTTCCGACACATTCTTATAAATCACAGGCCTACATGTGCGTAACCATTTGTTCTCTGAGGCATGACGTTTGAACAGCTGAACGTCGGATGTTTCATCCTCGGCACGTTTCGGAAAAAATACTTTGTGACAGTCGTTGTCCCGTTGTCAACTTTCAAACTTTCGCTCAGATAAATCAGAAAGTATAGATTGACGTTGTTTAATGTTAGCAGATGTGGTATTGGTTTGCTATGTTTCTTACACAGAATGACAACAGATTTACAGTTTGATGGACACAAGATTTTGCACCAAGAATGAATAGATCACAGATTTATTTTGTTCATTATCAAGATAAGAATAACATCCTTCTGTAAAATGAGTTTGGATAAAAGGCCGGCATACCTGACATTGTAGTTTACACTACTTAGTAATTATCTTGATCTAATTATGGGGATTTTTTTCTCCTTACACTGATAATGATATTTATATTACATATATACTACAGAGATTAAGTAAATTAAGAATGTATGATTACGAATATACAGCTTCATTTTTCATATTTTATATCAAATAATGAATTGTAATATTTCAAAGGCCAATAGACAAGTGCAGGAGCAATCCCCAATTGGTTAACAGTTTAATGATGCACATAATATATATAAAAAATATTTAGGTATAGAATATAGAGAATTATGTTATGAACTTTAATCAGACTGATATACATGTTGTGATTTTCTTTTTTTCAAAAAAAATTTTATTGCCCAAGAACTTTCAAACATAGACTACTGCCAGGGTTGGGACCTAAGATTCAGCATCTGAACAAATATGTCTTCATTCAACACTGTAATGACATTCATAATCCCTTGCTGTATATATTAAGTTAGTGCCCAAGTTTTGCCTTTTGCTGTTGACCATATTCCATTTTTTATATTTTCTGTTACCATGGAAACATAGCCAAATTTACAAATTTCAGCTTTTCTGGGCCAGTGCTCTGAAACTGTTCAAGATAATAATCAAAACTTTTTACTCTTAATAAGCTACTAGTATTTTTTCCTATGGGAAAGTTCTCCATTTAAATGCTTTTTCTGTTACCATGGAAACAGATAGGCCAAATAAAAAAGTTCAGGCCTTTTTTTAGACCAATTTCCATAAGCTGTTCAAAGTAATTACCCAGTACTCAAAACTTTGTACAGGCATCAAGCTAGTACTCTAGTAGAAGTTCTTCATTTCAGTACTTTCTATGGCAGAATTAAAAAGATAACAAATAGAAATTAAGCTTGCTGTAATATTAACATATATATGTGATTGTGTCTCATTCTTTTAAACAGGGGCGCAGGGGATAATGTCGTGCTTTGCATTATCTTGTTCATTTATTCATTCATTCATTTATTCATTCATTCATTCATTCAGTATGTAATTTGTACATTCATTTTACAACTCATCCATTCATCAAAAAAATTATTTATCCGTATTAATTGACTTTGGATTCATTCATGCACATTTTTTTACGAATCTGATATAATATCGCTCTGAGACAACATATAAAACAGATTAGGCAGGTAATAACATACAGGCAGGTATACTTACATGAAATGTAAAACTTACTTTGCAGAAACTACATGGATTGACTGAAAATTTCCTGCAACTTGAGTGTGGAAATTCATCCTAAGTTCACATGGAAACGATTTAGACTTCCATACTTAGCATAAACATTCAACTGACATGAAGAAAAGAACACATATGGCTTCAAGACTTCCTAGCATGATTACTTCTTTAGGTTCAGAACATGAAAACTATTGCTATTCAAAACGAGTGATCATGTATAAAAAATTATATGAAAGCACAATGTTATAATCATATTTACAAACTGTGAAGGTAATACATATTTCATTAAACTGAAATGGAACATTGCATATCAGTAAAGGCATCATTGTTTCTGTCATCAATCCACAAAGGCAAGATCTAGAATTAACATTTGAGTGTATAGCATTTCCCTTGATGAAATTGTCAGCATATTGATTGAAAAAGAATTATACCTGTCCCTGTTTACACTTGATTATGTTCTTCAGGTAGTCAACAATATTATCATTGGTTGACTCTATCAACAATGCTTGATATTTTCCTAAATTAAATGAATTTTTGTTTTTAAGAAGTTAGTATTATGTAAGTAGTTACAAGCATCTGTGTACAATCCATTTAGAAGGAAACTACATTTGTATCTACAGCAAGATCTATAGTTCTTTTATATTGACGACCCCAGTATTGAAATTTGTTAGTCACTGGGTGTAGACAATGCATGTAAATCTATATGCAGTTTAATTAAATCAATACTTAAACCTTTAAATTTACAATGTATCATAATTTTTAGTTGGTTAATGATAAGATACTTTTGATTGAAATCATAACAAAAAATTAAGTTTACATCACTGCTTTTATTTGGAATCTATTTATAAGACAAATGACATAGAAGATGGAGCATGTTTCAGTTAGCGAGACGAAACTAATAATAAAACCACGGAATCGAGATATTGGTGCCCCAACTTTTCTGTCATTCGCATTTCCCTTCCTTGATGAGGCTCTATTGAATACTGATAGGTATCCATCTTTGATTCCATCAGGATCTGATCGATGACCAAAGACATACAGGACATTTTTCTCCCCCTACTCCTCTAGGAGTTTTTTTTACCTATAAGACACTTTAAAACACTCTGAATGATGCAGGGCCACTAGCCTAGAATACATGGAATATCATTACAAGAGATATTGTTTTTCAGAGAGTCTCCTGATTTGAGATAGACTGACTGAAGCAAGCATGCCTACCATTAGTTTAAGAGGTGTCCACATCAACTTCCCCTTTGACCCATATGCATGTCAGGAAGCATATATGGATAAGGTTCTAGAAAGCCTTCAAACGGTAACATATTCTATTAGGTGATCTTTAATTTGATACCAAATATGTATAAAGAACATTTATGGAATGAATTTATCAAATTTCAGTGTAAAGGTTAATGTATTATACTGTCTGCCAGTTTTCAAAGTGAAAATAGTTGAAATTCTTTTGAGTCTGCTGGTAATGATGCTAAGGAACATATTTGGCAAGTTGTTGTTAGTACTGAAGATGATCTGATCTTTGATGTAGCATCAGAAAATAAACATTTGAAAGAAAAATATAAATCAAGTTTTAATACATGAACTGAAATGAATTTGGTATATGTGAAAGTCTATTGTCAGAGAAAAAAAACAGTCTGTAATTAAAAGAATATACATTTCCTGTTCAGAGTCAAAATGCTGTGCTGGAAAGCCCAACTGGAACTGGAAAGACACTGTGTTTATTGTGTGCCAGTCTTGCCTGGCTCCAAGGACGCAAGGCCCAGACAGAGCTAAACAGACAGATTCACATCTCTTCATTTGTGGAACAGGGTTCTGTGAGGCCAGAGAATGTCAATACCCTAGTGAAGAGTTTGGAGGCCTCAACTGGACAGACATGGGGAGGAGCAGAGTTTGGTGGGTTTTCTCTATAGTAATCAGAAAAAAATAATTTCTTTACATCATTTGTTTGGTCCCTTATACAAAGTAAACTTTAATTTATATCCATTAATAAAAAGATATTTACATTCTCGTGAAATACGAAGGACGAAATCCTGATCATGAACATTGTAGCATTTTGACAAGAGCAGAATAATTTGTAATCTCACAAGTCATTGTCAATGACTATCTTTATACCAAACAGGGGAGAAACTTGTGCTGAAAAAATTTGAAATGGATAATCTGTTAGGATGATGGTTCAGTAAATATAGCCATTCTTGTCTGTTCTTATAGCTGTACCCAAGATTATATATGCTTCCCGGACTCATTCTCAGTTATCTCAGGCAGTGAATGAACTCAAGAGGACTGCTTACAACAGGTAACAGGTCATGTTCCAGGTTCAATTAATATATTTCCTGTGTCTTGTGTTGATGCTTGGAAATGTCTAGTGCTGCATTTGCCATAATCAGTATCATACTTTACTTTCTTCTATGAGACATGACTAATATTGTTTCAGGGTTAGTTGATGCCTATGAAAAATTTTTGATATTTGTTTGTGGGTTTATTAAGGCGTCAAAAGGCAGGATTCATTTTGAGGCAGGTTCTTTGAAGTAGCTCCTGGCTACCTCCATTAATAGGAAGGTCTGGCTCATTTACTATCCAGAGCATTTGCATTTGGGGTAAGTGTGTTGGTTAAGGACACTACCACAATAGCATAGAATGTTCTGTGATCTCGGCTAATTGATAAATACATCAGGTCTTCTTGCAAGATTGCAGCAGTCAGATGACCTACCAACTGATGAGCTGTCATAGATTCTTCTAAAATATTTGATGGAATGTGAATAGAGTTAATTACCTGTTGGTTAATCAACTTATCATATAAGCATATCTCTAAATTTTCAATTAATCTCTTTTAAATGTCGAAGCTTTTATTACCATTTTGATTGTACAAGTCTTACAGAAGTTTTGCTATTTACTTTGCATCCTTTTAAACTTGTTTTTGGAACTGATATTACTTGCAAAATGTGCACACCCAAAAATTCTGTCAAAATCACCTTCGGAATGTTCAGCTAAAACCTGTTTAATTACAGTCTAATATTTGTGCATCGACTTGTTTGTTTTCTTCGCCATCAGACGTCTCATCATTTACTGACCTATTCAGTTATCCCTTATTTATCTTACTTACACAGGCACTTGTCTTACCACTAGCCTTAAACAACAGTGTTCAGTGTTGAAATCATAAGTACAAGTCATTATCTACCTATTCATGACCAAACCAGGTAAATACGATATATGCCAGTTAACTTTTCTTTCATGTCTCGTTGTCACATTGAGTACATGTCAGGTGATTTAAATTGAAGCCCCAACTCTGTATATATAAGAAATCGGTATACTGTGCATGGAATGGCATCACATGGAATGTGTATCAATTAAAGAAGAATGGCATTTCATTACACATTGTGGTAAGATAATCACACAAAGACTATTCTCTCTATATCATTAGAAGATATATGCTTCTTAAACATCAATAAGATCAATTTGAATAGATAATAAATTAAATCCATAGTCTGATGATAAGTCTCAATCATTACTCTGTATACAAATAAGTAAATGCTAACTTCCATCAATACACATGAAAACAGACATGTGCTCATGGCTTCTGCTTTTAAGATGAAACCTGTCAATTTCTTAACAGTTACACATGTAAGTGTTTCAGAAGATAATCAAATTATAAACAACATATTTTCAATGTCCCAAACAGGCCAGTGTCTTTGCCGATTGTTAGTTATCTGTCTGTATAGTTGCCATCATGTTTTCAAACACTTCGTCCATGTTTTGCATGATACCCACTTGGTTAGTTTGTATTAATATATAATGTAATTTTCTGACCTATTTTTTTTGTTTATGAATAAATAGTCAAATCCTTTATATGTCAGTTTTAAGTACCAGATAATCCTGACAAACAATGATGGCGGCCTCAATTTTTCCATGAAAAAACCTTGAAAATCCTTTAGCTATGTAACGTGCACACCCCCAACTTTGGACATTTATTTAAAAAAAAAAAACAAAAAACAAAAAACAACTGCGCACATTACATGGGTTTTTAAGGCAGTTGTTTTAACTAATGTAGTTCATATCTGAACCGTTGTCACCTCTGGATGAAGTTTGGTTTGTAATTTATATATTTAGCATGAAGGTGAGTGTGATTGGGTCCAGAGAACAACTGTGCATCCATGAGCAGGTTAGGAAGGAGCTCAGTAACACTAATAAGGTAAGTTGTTGATCTGGAGGATGGGAACTCTTCCTGTTTCTGTTTCTTTGACTTATATGGGGTTCTTATACTTTGATTTCACATATGACTCCTTGTCACTTGATTCTATTTTAGATAGATCCTGTCAATGAGATTTGGATGGGATAGTTCCTGTTTTTAAGGTTTCGGTGGGATCATTTTTTTTGAGGTTTGGGTGGGATAGTACATATTATTGAGGTTTAGGTGCGTTTGCTTTTGTTATTGAAGTTTGAATTGGAAAGTTTGTGTTATTGAGGTTTGGCTGGGAGAGTTCCTGTTATTGGGGTTTGGATGGGAGAGTTCCTGTTATTGAGGTTTGGATGGGAAAGTTCCTGTTATTGAGGTTTGGCTGGGAGAGTTCCTGTTATTGGGGTTTGGCTGGGAGAGTTCCTGTTATTGGGGTTTGGCTGGGAGAGTTCCTGTTATTGGGGTTTGGGTGGGCACTCCCTGTTACTGGAGTTTTGGATGTGGCACTCCCAGTTATTGGAATTAGGGGTATGGTACTCCTTTATTAGAGCTTATAGTGAGATGCCATTCTGATGTATAACTGATTTCTCAGACAATACAATTTTCAGTCTGCCTGTATTTTGAGAGAATTCATTATGTGACTATATTTATCAGACAAAAAGCCCCTATCAACTAATGGAACCATATCTGTTTGATGACCTGTGTTAAAGTTGTAAACAAATGTCCTGTAATAAGCCCATCCCCTGAGTCAGAGGTGATGTGCTGGCTCCCTGGGCAGGATAAATGTAGCATTTTTTAGGAGGGCAAGTCAATGCTACTTTATCTACAAATGTATATTTAATCACAAGCATCCTCAGTGTTAAATTATTTTTCCTCTTTTAGGTTCATATGTGTCGTGCGAAGGTTAGTGCCAGAACCTGTTTCTACTACAACAAATTTGATGGTGAGAATTTTGTGTTTAAAAGTCATGATTTTTGCAGTAAACCTATCAAAACAGATTTGAGCCACTTCTTTAATCTTTATTAGCTACATGCCTTAAGGTTTTGCCCAAAGTGTCTTCAAAGGCCAGAGAACTCGACACATGTGGTGAAACCAGTGGAATTACTCCTAAAGAATACCCGGCCCCTAACCTTTTCTGATTGATTTACTGGTTTAACTCTGATTTATCATTCCCCTACATACCTTTGTGTATCCAGGTAAGCTGTGAACAGGATCCATTTGTCCATCATATCAACAACTATGACATTGGCTTTAGCTCCATTGCTCTATGCTTAAATGTAATTCACAAACAATACACAGCATAGACCAAGCAAAGTAGTTGAGTATTTTCTATCAAATAATATGAAGTTCCAACTTCATGACAAATCAAATGTAACAATATTGTAGCATAGGCTTCAAAGTTAAGAAAGATTTATCCTGCATTATCTGGTTTGTGTGAAGTGTAGTCTTGTGTTTCTTGCAGACATCAAGAGGAACAGTGATGCCCGACATTTGGTGGGGAATGTGGTTGACATTGAGGATATGGTGGGCTACGGGGAGAAAAACAAGTAGGAAATTAAACAGCTTCACATAAAACTTACCAACAATATTTTAGTAGAGATAGTTATTTTTCTGCCATTTTAAAGAAGTCTTCAATTGCCAGTATTAAAAAATATTTCCTTCATTGATGATGACTGACTTCAAACATTGGATCTAATCTAATTGTACCTTGTATAATTCATATTTTCAAGTTCTCTTTTATTCTATCTGATCAAAACTCAACTTAATAATTCTGATTTTCATATTAATGTCTAGCATATCATGAATTTTGTTTCAGAGTTTGCCCTTATTATATGGCTAAAGAACTGAAAAATGATTCTGAAATTATATTCATGCCATACAATTACTTACTGGATGCTAAGGTGAGTGATTTTTGTGTCCCTTCGGATACATAAAGGTATCAATATGATTTTTTTTGAATGAACAAAGACATGTTATTTCTTTTATCATGGCCAGGTGCATGAGCACTTTTACTTTTCCTTGTCTCACTCTTGGGTTGAAGTAGAGGGAATTCCCCTTTCATATCTATGATATCATTTCAACAATACAAAGCATTTTGACAACATAATCACATACATAAGGAGGGTAGCAGGATAACGCCTTGTTGGTGAGATTAGGAGATCTCAACCCTCTGGAAAAGATTGATAAGTTGCAAACACTCAGCAAGCCTCATTTTTGCAAACTTATTTATGGTTCCCATCGGTTGATATCCCCTTGACTCATCTCCAAGGGGGTCTTCCCATTAGTCTAAGAAGACTGATGGTATGTTTTGTTGGGTTTCCTTATTCTTCTTGTTCTTCTTTTCTCCTGTAACATTCCATCTTGATCATAACCTTTAATACCTCAATTTGTTTACATGCATTGACAGTTCATGAGTTTGTAATATATAACAGATCTTGATAAGGTAACAATGATAAATATGTAACTATGTGATATGTCCGATTTGTTGTTTTACATTTGTTTGATAATGTTAAGATTAAAAAAAAAAGAAACATAGTATGTATCAGTTTTATGAAAAGTTTTAACTAGTACTTTTAGTTTTGACAATTTTGTTTTAAATTTCAGTCAAGGAAAGCCCATGGGGTTGAGTTGCAAGGGAACATTGTTATTTTCGATGAAGCCCATAACTTGGTAGGAATCTCTTTACTCCTAGATAGTTAAAATCTTAAAGCTGTGTGTGGTAGACATTCCTTATTCCTTAATTGTTAATCTTGCATTTGTAATTCATATGTTGTATGAAAGAATATGTGGGGAGAGTTCATCTTCCGATCTCTAGTATCTGTATAAAATTCATATTACAGGAGAGTTCGTCTTCCGATCTCTAGTATCTGTATAAAATTCATATTACAGGAGAAAATTTGTGAGGATAGCTCCTCCTTTGACCTTACAACAGCTGACCTTGCCACAGCTATAGAAGAAGTGTGTCGATTGGCTGACAAGTTTGTAGAGATGGCTCAGGCTGAAGGCCAGTCTTTGGTAGAAATGACAGAATCTAGTGTGCCAGGTAGACATACATCTTTTTGTATTTGTGTTAAGCATTGTCACTTGAAACCTCTGATTGGATGCTTTCAGTTAAGTGAAACAATAAAGATAAATTACCTGATTTATCATGTGAGAAATCCGAAGTAGAAGTGAGTGCATGGTAATAGCAAGCATTGTTTGAAGTTCCTGCTGAAACTGTGTAAGTTGTGGGCTCATACCTGGAGAAATATAGTCCAGAATATGAATCACATTATCTTCATACTACATGTCGTGATGTATAAACATATGTTTTATATGTAAACAGTGTTAATTTCACATCCCAAACTTTATCCACATGTTGCTTGTTGAGGATGCATGATAAATTCTACTATATTTATCCTGTGATATACCCAAGGGACTAAGACATGAAATTTGAATCAAAGTCAGGGATGGGCTTATTACAGGACAATGAAATAGCATTTGTTAGTATTTTTATTTGATTATGCATTAGAAATTTGTAGGATTATTTCCAGGCATGGGCTTATTTGTCCTTATACTTCAATTTCAAGACGGAGATAAAAATTTGTGAGACTTCTATAACACTTTTATGTAATCAAAGAGGGTGAAATGGACATGAGGTAGATGGAACAAGAGCAAAAATACACTGGGATACAGTAGTCCTGTTTTTGGACAGATTTACAGATGAAATGTATCATAGCACTTGGACAACTATTTATTCAAGTTTGATTCAAGGCAATATTCACATAAAGTATAAAATAAAAAGGACAAAGAATGGCTTATCATCCTTCCACTTCTCAAGCATTGTTATGAGCTTTGCAATTCTTGCACATTTTCTCTAATTGTGATAGTATGAAACACGTTGTCTATGAATTATGTTTTGATTATATCCCAGTACACAAAAGGATTTTTGTGGGTTCACAAGAAATAGATAAACTCTGTTTATTTTGTGTGGAAATGCTGATTGTCTTTCTTTTTTCATTACAGAACCAGAATTCAACCTTGAAGATTTACTGAGAATGAAATGTGAGCATTGTAGATCATGAAATGGTCATCTTATGCAAAATCACTTTATTTAAAGGGAAATTTCAATTTCATCATCAAAGAATATGTTGCAAAATAATAATTTCATATCATGTTTTTGTGTTGGCTGGGATCAGTGTATTTGTGCTTAGGTGTCTGTTATAGATAGAAAACACATTTTTCGGAAGTTCATTAAATGTTTTGAAATGCTTTCATTATTTACCTCCATCTTTGCAGCTTTTCATTTTGTTCTATAGCAAATTATGTTTACAAAGACAGCAACATGTATACTTTAAAATATGTCCTCTTCAAAAGCCACATATTAATAAATACAGATGTTTTATGCTAGTCAAACGTGAATGGTGAATCTCTACCCTTCAGTATGTGTATTACAACTGGCCAAATTGACATTTGGGAAATTTAAATGTTGATTAATGATAAACATCAGGACCTGATGTTAACATTCTTGTCTTTAGCTGTCAAGGTATACAAGTTATCCTGTGATTGTTTCAGATTGCCAACACATTACATCTGGTGTAAACTGTAGAGTATGAGTCTATTACAAAACGATGAAAAAGCATCTGTTGATAGTTCAATGAAAAGTTAAAAGATAAGTAGTCTTAATTCCAGATGTGGGCTTTTTGATAGATAAATACTATTGTTCTTTACTCACGGACTTATTATTCTTACAGCTACCCTAAAGGAACTGGAGGACAACCTGGACAGTTTGGACATAGGCACAGGGTCAAATGGTATCACTCACCCTGGCATGTACGTTATGCATCACAAAACTTTCACTCGTTGAATAGAATTAAGTTGTGAATATCATTTAACACCGTCAATGCTGGTAGATTTTGGTAGATAAATGGGAGATATATATATTGTGTAAAATGTTATGTTTATATTTTCCATTCTAGCGGTAAACATATATATTTATTTGATACATATAACATATAGACTACATGTTCCTGAAATTAGGACAGCTGGACAGTATGGACCCTGGAATATCATATACCTATCTTAGAGGATAATTTGTGATATTCTAATTCAGGCATTTTGTTTGTTAAAAGGTTTTAGAATTTTTGTAATATGTTACACATTTGTTAACTATTATGTATTTGACTGAATGCTGAATTTCAAGAAAGATAATTTCATTAGTCAATACCGGTAATCAAATTACTGGATTATGTAGTATAAAAATTAAGGACCTTTGATTTTAGTCAATATGCAGTTGACTTTTTTCTGTTTTAAGATTCATGTTTGAGTTTCTGGCTAAAGTACACATCGGTTTTGAGACGAAAAATTTCTTCATTGACTTGTTGTTTAAGATGATCAACTATCTTACAAGTGATAGTAAGTATGAAGGCCTTCCTTGATTGTATCACCTTAAATACAATAATTATCTGTTTACACCAAGAAAAAGCTATGTGTAGTAGACATTCTTTTTCTGTAATGTTGTACACAACTTGTTGTTTGATCTTTTCTTGATCTGTTGAAGTATGATGGTGAAATGAATTTATTTAATTACTATCAAATCATTTATTTTTGTGTGGAATTTATTTCATGGGGTCCTCCCAAATGCATATGGCAAGAAATCACTTAACTGTTCAAAATTTGACAATTTTTTTAAAAACTTAATTGAGTACGATTCATTGACATTTAATTTAAAAAACACTAATTTTTAGCCCAATGAGAATTTATGCTTTTACAGTGTAATGAATTACTTGTCATGATTTAATGATAATTTTTTATAGGATTTCTTTTCCATCAAAATAATTTTTATCTAAAACCTTTTTTTATCCGAAGATTTACAGCTGACTGCCCTGCATTATTGTTTTTTATTTTCCAGCATCTTCTGGCTTCACCACCAAAGCTACAGGGCTTTCTAAGATGGCTGATGTCTTTAAGGTACACTGTGGCATCAGAAATTAGTAATGAACAGATTAAAATCCTGAAAAACTGCAATAGTAGTGCTGTTAAAAAGCAGAATCTGCTTCAGAATTTAATTGAATTCTATAAATGTATTTAATTTGGCACTATCTAATTCAGGGCAGTAACACCTTTTTGGCAAATTTGCACAATAATGAATTAGCATGTCCATTGTAAGTGCTGTGTAAATAATGTTTATAAATTCCAATAAGGGCAATCATATTTTAATAAAATATTTTCTGTGCAAAACATTCTAAACAAAGATTATTGGTTACATATGTATGTTAACAGTAGTGAGGGCTATTCAAGTAAAACATCTATCTACACCAGAATTCAAGGTGTTATTTAGGTGTACCACCTAGAGAATATAATCTGATAATTTGCTTAATAGTAAAGGACAGAAAACCAAACCATGTCATAGAAGTGATGAATTTTGGAGTCCTGGGGTCATTTTGTTACAATAGCCTTGATAGATAAAACAGAAAGTTACAACTCACTAGAATCTGCAGACACTGGGCTTATCTTGGTTACATAATAATATCTGGTCAAATCTAGTAGGTTTTTAGGCTCCTTTGCTCAGAAGAGTATTTCATCCACAGCCCCCAAATGTTTATACGTTACCTTTAGTTACTTTTTTACTTCACAATATGAATATTCTCATACTCCTAATGTTAATTTTAGACAATATTTTGTTGATACACTTCAGTGTACTTTTTGGTACATTACTGGAGTAAACAAACCTTTATAATGGTATGTTCGTGCCCCCATCATTTATTGTATGGTGTGTATGTGTGTGACATGTGGTGTTACTCATGTCTCCTTATCCCATCCTGTTCTGCTGTGTTGTGTCTTGCTCCTACCAAATCATTGTCCGATCTTGAGAGCATCTCCATGGATTTACTCCTTGATATCATGACACCAAGTTCTACACCTGATCAGATTCTGGTTTGGATAGGAGTAAGGGCATTCAAGGCTTAAACCCTTTTACTAGTCTATTTGTTAAGTTGTGTTGTTTGATAAACATTTATAAGGAATTCTTAATTTATTGGTCAACTGTACTCAAATCCCGATTCTTTGTAGATTGTTTTCTCTCGTGAGACTCGTCTTGGAGAATCAATGCACTCTCATCAACAGTCAATAGCTAAATACTATAAGGTAAGTCATCTATAGAATAACAAGTAATACATGCTTTGTCAGAATCTTGTTGGAGTTTTTCCAACAATTGTACCTGAATGAAAATTGAAATGTTGACGAATATGAAATTGCTGTTGGAGTTGAGTTTAAGTCCCTATTCTAATGCCACCTGTTGAAAATGACTTTTGATATCTACTTAATAGGTTCATATACAAGAAACCAAAACTGACAAAAAGTTTGGGAAGAAGGCAGATTTATGGAGCAAGACGGCAGACAAACAGGGTAGGTGTTACATAACTGTACAGTAAGTTATGTGAAAATAGGTTCAACATTAAATTCATATAATATGGAATCCATTGTTATGATTATTTCCCATGTCACTAGACTGTACCCTGAGCTACTGGTGCTTCATCTTTTGTGCTCTATCATTTGTATATCTTACTGATGATATTTGCGGTGTGGCTAGGTCGTACCCTGAGCTACTGGTGCTTCAGCCCTGGTCATAGTATGCTGGATCTGGTTGCTCATGGAGTGAAGAATGTAATCCTGACTAGTGGTACACTATCGCCGATCACTTCCTTCACTTCAGAAATGCAAATGTAGGTACTGACAGGTGAACTATGTAGCATATGTTGTTATCTTTCATTTTTCAAGTAAAATTTAGCAAGAAAAAATTAATATTTAATGACAGGAATTGTAAACGTTTACCTGTTCATCATTTTGCAAATTAAAAGGGGTAACTGGTCATAAAATCAGAGTTAAACCATGATGTATGTTATCACATTGTAAATATATACTTGTTCACTGAAAGTCAAGTGAAAAGATATGACCTCTATGAAATATATGTGTTGTATTTCAGTCCATTTCCTCTGCGACTGGAGAATCCTCATGTGATAGAGAAACACCAAGTTTGGATAGGGACCATGCAAAAAGGGCCAGATGGGGTGGTACTCAACTCTAATTATGAAACAAGGTATCAATTACAAGTATTTAGTACTATTGAGGTAAAAACACAACTGATGATCATGTCATGCAGTGCACTAATATCGATTGTGGATGACAACCCTTTCTGTTAATAATAATCATTTTCCTTATGCTTATTATACAAGCATTAACAATATCATTTTGACTCTTGTGCTGTTGCACTATAAAAAATAAGTGCCTCCATCTTTTCAAATGAGATTTTTTATGCATTATTTTTTCGCAAATGTAGATAACTGTTTAAATCACAATGAAATAATGATAGCAAGAACTCTTCTCTGCAGTGAAATACTCTCTAATGTTTTAAGTGAAGGAATTTACATAGATTGTAATTCAATAATTCTGTATTTGTCTTTCTCTACACAGTGTTGATTTGGACAAATTACACAAGTAAATGAATCCGTCACATTGTCAATACATGCATTCAGAATAAAACCTGTTCCCTTTATTTTTACCAGTTTGGTTGATTTTTACTGGTAAGGTAATGAATAGAAATGTACAAAGTGACACACCTTCTTTTGATTTCTTCAGTTTTAAAGTCTTCCTGGTTTACTCAAAAGTGAATAAAAAAGATATCATAATTGGTTTGATACTATATCTGCTGTATTGCAACCAATGACAAATGCTAGCTTGTATTTGCCAAAAATTGTTTGCATTTTTACTTGGTAAAAAGGATTGGTAAAATTCCTTAATCATTAAGTCATCATTTACAATGAACTTTTCACACTTTATTGTAGATTTAAGCCTAGTTATCAGTCATCACTGGGGAATGTTATAGGTAAGTTAAAGATGATACAGCCTTTTCTGTTTTTTTCTCTTTTTTGTGATTAAACTGACAGGACTATATGTTAAGAGAATTTATATTTCTTTTACAAATAAATCTGTCAATAAAGTGACCATTGCTATCTTTAGTCAGTCATGGTAAACAGCTAAACAAGGGATGAATACTGGAGGATGATAGGAGGAGAGGAGGTATATTTATTTTGAGGATAATTTTACTTGGGATGCTGTAAATAAAGAGAGCTATGGCGTAATGATAATGTTATGATTATCAGACATCAGTAGAAATATTTGTTAGGTTTTCAGTTGTTCCCAAGACACATGCACATATTCATCAGCTGACTAGAATTTCTTTTTATTATGTTAAACATAAAATATTGATTTCCATGTATTTCTACTTCTAACTTGAAAGTGTTAACACATTCATACTTCAAAATTGGTAGACCAAAAGATAAGATTTTTACATTAGAAATGATTGCTTTGTCTTTGGTGTGGAGAAGATGGGCTTCCGAGCTTGATGTACCACTGAATACATAATCATCCAATTTGTGCAATAATCAAATAGAATTACCATATATAATTGAAAAAGACTACAATTATTGTGATAGAAAACATTATAAGAATGTTAAACATCTATCCCAACACAGTTTGCTTAGAATTAACACTCAGGAAATCAGATTTTTAACTGTAACAGCTCAAATAGTTTACTGATAACTTAAATGACTTTTGTTCTGACAATGACAACAACTGTGACAAATTAAAAAAACAAATTGATTGTCTTTCCAGTGAACTTTGCTCGTGTGGTGCCCAATGGTATGTTGGTGTTCTTTCCGTCGTATCCTGTCATGGAGAAGTGTCTTGAGCACTGGCAGGTGAGTCACTCCTTCATAGACTGTAGATACATGTAGGTACAGTGATAGGGAGGGAAAATGTCTGGGGCACTGTCAGGTAGGTCACTTCTCCATAGACTGTAGATACATGTAGGTACAGTGATAGGGAGGGAAAATGTCTGGGGCACTGTCAGGTAGGTCACTTCTCCATAGACTGTAGATACATGTAGGTACAGTGATAGGGAGGGAAAATGTCTGGGGCACTGTCAGGTAGGTCACTTCTCCATAGACTGTAGATACATGTAGGTACAGTGATAGGGAGGGAAAATGTCTGGGGCACTGTCAGGTAGGTCACTTCTCCATAGACTGTAGATACATGTAGGTACAGTGATAGGGAGGGAAAATGTCTGGGGCACTGTCAGGTAGGTCACTTCTCCATAGACTGTAGATACATGTAGGTACAGTGATAGGGAGGGAAAATGTCTGGGGCACTGTCAGGTAGGTCACTTCTCCATAGACTGTAGATACATGTAGGTACAGTGATAGGGAGGGAAAATGTCTGGGGCACTGTCAGGTAGGTCACTTCTCCATAGACTGTAGATACATGTAGGTACAGTGATAGTGAGGGAAAATGTATGGAGCACTGTCAGGTAGGTCACTTCTCCATAGACTGTAGATACATGTAGGTACAGTGATAGTGAGGGAAAATGTATGGAGCACTGTCAGGTAGGTCACTTCTCCATAGACTGTAGATACATGTAGGTACAGTGATAGTGAGGGGAAATGTTTGGAGCACTGTATGGTAGGTCACTTCTCCATAGACTGTAGATACATGTAGGTACAGTGATAGTGAGGGAAAATGTTTGGAGCACTGTCAGGTAGGTCACTTCTCCTTAGACTGTAGATACATGTAGGTACAGTGATAGTGAGGGGAAATGTTTGGAGCACTGTATGGTAGGTCACTTCTCCATAGACTGTAGATACATGTAGGTACAGTGATAGTGAGGGAAAATGTATGGAGCACTGTCAGATGGGTCACTTCTCCATAGACTGTAGATACATGTAGGTACAGTGATAGTGAGGGAAAATGTCTGGAGCACTGTCAGGTAGGTCACTTCTCCATAGACTGTAGATACATGTAGGTACAGTGATAGTGAGGGAAAATGTCTGGAGCACTGTCAGGTGAGTCACTTCTCCATAGACTGTAGATACATGTAGGTACAGTGATAGTGAGGGAAAATGTCTGGAGCACTGTCAGGTAGGTCACTTCTCCATAGACTGTAGATACATGTAGGTACAGTGATAGTGAGGGGAAATGTATGGAGCACTGTCAGGTAGATCACTTCTCCATAGACTGTAGATACATGTAGGTACAGTGATAGTGAGGGGAAATGTTTGGAGCACTGTCAGGTTGGTCACTTCTCCATAGACTGTAGATACATGTAGGTACAGTGATAGTGAGGGGAAATGTATGGAGCACTGTCAGGTAGATCACTTCTCCATAGACTGTAGATACATGTAGGTACAGTGATAGTGAGGGGAAATGTTTGGAGCACTGTCAGGTTGGTCACTTCTCCATAGACTGTAGATACATGTAGGTACAGTGATAGGGAGGGAAAATGTATGGAGCACTGTCAGATGGGTCACTTCTCCATAGACTGTAGATACATGTAGGTACAGTGATAGTGAGGGAAAATGTATGGAGCACTGTCAGGTAGGTCACTTCTCCATAGACTGTAGATACATGTAGGTACAGTGATAGTGAGGGGAAATGTATGGAGCACTGTCAGATGGGTCACTTCTCCATAGACTGTAGATACATGTAGGTACAGTGATAGTGAGGGGAAATGTATGGAGCACTGTCAGGATAGACTGTAGATACATGTAGGTACAGTGAGGGGAAAATGTCTGGAGCACTGTCAGGTTGGTCACTTCTCCATAGACTGTAGATACATGTAGGTACAGTGATAGGGAGGGAAAATGTCTGGAGCACTGTCAGGTAGGTCACTTCTCCATAGACTGTAGATACATGTAGGTACAGTGATAGGGAGGGAAAATGTATGGAGCACTGTCAGGTAGGTCACTTCTCCATAGACTGTAGATACATGTAGGTACAGTGATAGTGAGGGGAAATGTATGGAGCACTGTCAGATGGGTCACTTCTCCATAGACTGTAGATACATGTAGGTACAGTGAGGGGAAAATGTCTGGAGCACTGTCAGGTAGGTCACTTCTCCATAGACTGTAGATACATGTAGGTACAGTGATAGGGAGGGAAAATGTCTGGGGCACTGTCAGGTAGATCACTTCTCCATAGACTGTAGATACATGTAGGTACAGTGAGGGGAAAATGTCTGGAGCACTGTCAGGTAGGTCACTTCTCCTTAGACTGTAGATACATGTAGGTACAGTGATAGTGAGGGAAAATGTCTGGGGCACTGTCAGGTAGGTCACTTCTCCATAGACTGTAGATACATGTAGGTACAGTGATAGGGAGGGAAAATGTCTGGGGCACTGTCAGGTGGGTCACTTCTCCATAGACTGTAGATACATGTAGGTACAGTGATAGTGAGGGAAAATGTCTGGAGCACTGTCAGGTAGGTCACTTCTCCATAGACTGTAGATACATGTAGGTACAGTGATAGTGAGGGGAAATGTCTGGAGCACTGTCAGGTAGGTCACTTCTCCATAGACTGTAGATACATGTAGGTACAGTGATAGGGAGGGAAAATGTCTGGGGCACTGTCAGGTGAGTCACTTCTCCATAGACTGTAGATACATGTAGGTACAGTGAGGGGAAATGTCTGGAGCACTGTCAGGTGAGTCACTTCTCCATAGACTGTAGATACATGTAGGTACAGTGAGGGGAAATGTCTGGAGCACTGTCAGGTAGGTCACTTCTCCATAGACTGTAGATACACATTGGTATTACTAGAGGGCAAAATATCTGATGGTGTGTGCTATTTTGTGTACACCTGACAAAATTTGTATTCATGTCCATCTAGGGATGTAGATACATGTAGGTACATTTTCTGGAGCACTGTCAGGTAGGTCACTTCTCCATAGAAATTACGGATGCATATGATATATAAATTAGAAAACAACATTGATAGGAAACCTAGCCCTTTGAGCTTTGATCAGCCTTGTTTTGTATATGTTTGTTTACAGGAAAATAATATCTACAACAGAATCACCCAATACAATAGTATAATTTTGCCAATATGATATATAAATTAGAAAACAACATTGGATAGGATGCACCTGACAAAATTTGTATTCATATAGGGAAGTTAATTTTGTTCAGAAATTACAAGAGGTTTTGAAGATGGCCCTACAGGAGGTGAGAGATATTTATGAATCTGTCGTCACTCCATCATATTCAGTCGAACCTCATTATCTCAAACTTGATGGAACCATTGAAAAAAAGATAACCCAGTATTTGATTTAAGTGAGTTTGACTGTTTTGTGTCCAGTGATGCATGGACCGACAGAATGCTTAGATTAAAAAGGTGTCTTTGAGCTATACGAGTTAAGATAACGAGGTTCGACTGTACTTTTCTTTCATTTCTGTAATTTTCTGTCTTTTGGTAAGATTTGCCTTGAATGCTCTTATATATCAGTCATGAGCTTGATTTTATATTTAATCCATGTAAATGCCTATAGTTCTCTGTTCATAGACCTTTTCCATGTCATATTATGAAATTACAAAGCCAGTTTTAGACTCTCATTACCAACCAAGTCAAATCAGTCAGTAATAATTATGACTATAGATATGACAGTACTAATGATGGTTAAAAGAATTGAGTATAAAGCGATATGTTTGTAAACATTCTCATAAGTATACTGATATTTTGCTTTACTTCCAGGCAATGGAAAGTTTTTATGAGAAAATCAATGACCCCAGTCTCAATGGAGCTATTTTCATCGCTGTGTGTAGAGGAAAGGTAGAGTGAATTACATCAGGATTGTATCCCATGTTTTCTAAAACTCCCCTTCAACATTATGTCACATATGACTGCAGATGTAAGGTGGATTAGTTTCTAGGACCATATATATGGAATATTGAGATATGTTAACTAATGAGACTGTAGGAAATGGTTATGGATAAAAAAAGTTCTTGAGTTAACGTAACTGGTATTTAGATAAGTATCTACATATTTTTATATTAACTCCTAATATTATCATAAAATTGTAATTGATAGAAAAATATTTATTGAATTAACATGACTGCTATTCTCACTTCCTTGAAAAAGAAAATTTCCACATGATGTGTAGCAACAGTTATAAGATATTTTGTCCCTAATAAGTGATGTGATCAATCATTGGTAAAGAAGTCCATGATAGTTCTTTTAGGTACAAATAACAACATCAATAATCACAGTAGTACAGCCTATAACAATTTCAGAAAATTTATTCTGTAGATACTACAACACTTATAATACTACTAGATTTTATTAGTGCTGTTAAAGCAATATCATTGTGCTGTCAAATAGGGTAGCAGTAGTTAGCATCTACTAAGACTTCCTACACTTTTCAAGTGAAAACTTTTCAAACTATAGTTTTAGATAGCTATAGAAGGAAGATGTCGCTAGACAGATACATAACTGTTGATAAGACTCAGTTGGTGTGCTAACAAAAAATGGTTATGAATCTATGCCTTAGGGGTGTTAATTGTTTTGACTCTTTTTTTGTTGCGAATTAAAAAATGGCATATAGTTTCACATAAACCCATGTGGCCTTCTTGTCAACTATATTGTCTAGGTGTGTCGTTTGCTACAGAGATTTATTTTCCTTACTGTTGATGTTACCAAGGCAGTAGCAAGGATGTGTTATTTCAGGATGATGTCAAAATATCTAACAGACCGTTGAAAAGAGCTGTGATAGCTCATTTAAGAGTGTTGCCCTATGTAACCTCAGGAGAAGATCCGAGGTGCATGGTTAGATGCTTGTTGGCCCTGGCGTTTATTTCACAGGAAGCTGAGAAACAGGCTGGTGGCAAGATGCTTTACCTTAATTGCTTTGTATTGCTTGTGATGAGCCTTCCATGTGTTGTTCAGCAGGGTAGTCACCAGCCACTACAAGGAGGCCCCACCTCAAAATGACCTGGTTAATCACAGGGCAGTAGAAATTGTAGTCCTTGCATTGATAAGATATCTGTATGGATGTTTTCCTATGAGGCTAGTGATGTAGTCCTCCAATACCAATTTTTTTTTAGCTTGCATTTGAAATATTGAACTTTTGGAATTTTTAGACTTGATGTTATGTAGAGTTGTTATGGTATTCATTCAATGTTCCTCAAATCTAGTTATTTTCCTTCTGTTGTGGATTAAATGTATACTTATAATATGGCACATTTATGTGTATAGTTTTTTGGAGACTGACATTACCTGTAGATGTTTGTGAAGTTCAAAGTGGTATGCATGATTTATTTCAGAGGTATAAATATAAAAAACTGCATTCTGTTTTGTCAGGTGAGCGAGGGTCTGGACTTTTCTGATATCAATGGCCGAGCAGTTATCATCACTGGCCTGCCTTACCCGCCCCTTATGGATCCAAAGGTCAAACTCAAAATGGAGTTTCTTGATGAAATGAAAGGCAAACAGGCATACGAGGTGAAGTGTTTAAACTAGTGGAGAGGTTTACTGCCCACATTGTCAGTATGTCTAGCACTCTGATCTCTGATATTTTAGCCAAGCTTATCAACTTTTCACAAATGATTGGGAGTCTGCCAATGAAATGTTTGTAACATTAAGAATTAGATTTTGGAAAAATGATGGAGTGGTTTTCAGTAATAACATTGAATTGTCTCAAAAATATACTCTTAAGGAAGTATGGCATTCCCTCTACCACATAGCTTTATATTAGCCCACCATAAAGATGTCTTCTTGATATAGTTGTTTCATGAAAAGTACTGGGTGGCTTCCCTTGATCCATAGTTGTGCACTATTTTGGGACTAATCCAAGAAAACAAATTAACGTACTACATTTGTTATTGCTAATTCTTGGCAATATCTCGATGGTTCTTCTTGTTCCCGAGTTGTGCCCTTTTTATGATTTCGGGACTGATCAGAAAAAAACGTTACCGACAGACAACCTTCCTGGTTTTGAAAGTTAAAGATTATCGTCACTATTTTTTGAGGAAAATATACAAATTTCATTAAAAAAAACCCCAAAAAACAAACATTAAAGAAAAGAAGGGACAAAAATCCAACTTTTAAAGACCAAATAAAGTTCAAGCAATTGTGAGTGCCATCTCTTCTCTGCTTGTTAGTGAAGGTTATAGTTTAGCACCATCAACACAGTAGAAGAATTTTATCATTTACTTCATGTAACCTAAATATTTGATAAAGGAATGTTGTTTGCCCAAACAATCAGCCTTGTGACATACACTCTATGTTTTCAGACGTTGACTGGAAATGACTGGTATAAACAACAGGCATCTAGAGCTGTCAATCAGGCTATTGGGCGTGTAATACGGCATCGCGACGACTACGGTGCTATTATACTATGTGATACAAGGTAAGTAGAATCATGGTTACACAGTTTTAAGGTAAATTTCTATTTTCATGTTACAAGAAATCCTTGAAAGTGAAATATGTTACTGTTTTCTTCAAGATCAATGATATTTTGTTGAAGTTGGAAATTAATCCATTTTAGGCAGTAAGAATGTTGTGATTTCTATTGATAGGTTTTCCTATGAGAACTCTTTGAAACAGTTACCTATATGGGTACGTCCACATGTCAACAAATACAGCACATTCGGGCAAAGTCTAAAGGACATTATGGTGTTCTTCAAAACTGCAGAGAAAACGGTAAGATAGAATGTGGCCAGCTATGTCAAGTAATTCTTTAGACCCTTGATACAGAAGAGACTCAACTTAATACTGATTACAAAACCAACATGATTGTCATAGCCAGGATTGTTAGTGGCAGATCTGGATTTGACTAAAGATAGATTAATATTTTGATAGATGGCCTATCATTGCAGTAAACCTGGTGGTCAGAAGTTGTCATTCATTTTCATTTGGTACTATCTTTGACTTTTTTTGAAGTTCAGTGTCACTCCATTATAATCTTCAAAGGTACGTATTGGTGTGATTAGTCAGATTTTTCACTTGAAACCTACTCTAGGCCAATCAAATTACTTCACTTGTGCCACCTATTTTGCCAGGAAATGTTCCTGGCATGCAGAAAGAAAAAATGGATCCTAACCCTTGGGTATTGAGGATGACATAGGTGTTGTGTGACCTGACAAACAAAACCATAATGTTCTCTTTCTTATTAGACGAAATGACAGCCCTACACAGATGACTAATATGGTGCAATTCAAATGATGTTAGATTTTTGTCATATTTCTTAACAGTGTTAGTTTAACACTATGTATCTCAGTTAACTTATATACTAAACATACCTTATTTTGTATGTAGTTGCCAGCTCCACAACTACAAAAGAAAAATCAGTCAACAGCAGGTTGTCATGGAGCACACTTTGCCCCCACAGTGTCAAGATCAAAGGTCACACCGAAGCTAGATCAGGCTCGTAAGGTGGTAGAGCATGTGAAGAGTCTACGAAACACAGCAGGTAATCAGTTTCAGAAAATTGTTGTATACTTAGTGTAAGGTTGGGTTGTGAATTTAGAATAGAAGATTGTCTACATTTTATGGAATAAATCTACAAGCACATAGAATTATAGGAAAACTTTCTTTTAAATGTACATTTATAGGAAAACCGCTGATCAAGGTTAACTTTACCTAACAAAATAGAGCTTACTTGTAGATAAAATGACAAAAAACCCATACATGTGATGTAGAAATAAAAGGATGTATTCAGAAGTTACATAAGCAGACATTTGTCTAGAGAAATTTCAAAATAATCTTATGAAATACATTCAATATGTTTAATTGTAGAGGAAAATGCCTTATTACGAAGTCAGTATGAACAGACAAGACTGCCATTAGTCAGAATCAAGAAACAGGATCTGCTGGGGGCTCTGTGTGAAAGTGAGGTAAGTCTTCATCTATAAAAAAAAATGACAATCTTTGCCATCAGATATTTGTCTGTTCAAGTCATCCTGCATCTATGGTCAGTCATCAGTGCATAGTCAGTCCTTCAACAATTTTGTTATTGCTTTACCTGGAGAGGCAGTGGATGGATCGTCCACAAGTTTCCTATGAAAATTCCCTTCATCCCTAGTCAGGCTAGTGGTCTCCTTATAATTCTAAAACTGATCAGAAGAAAATTGGCCGGCAAGCAGTCATATTGAACTTTGATAATGGAAATTGCCACTCTTACATGAGAAGTAGTAAATGAATTACGGTATTCTTGAATCTCATATGTAGGTGCACTTGGTCCTTTGCGTTGTGGTGTCCATTCAGAAAGTTCTCGTACTCATTAGAAACAAACAATGGGCAGACATCCGGCCATCTTGATTTTGACAATGAAATTTATCAATATGAGGTCGTTCTTGATTTTTGTATGTAGGTTTTTTCAGCCCAAAGTGTTTTGGTGCCTGCTCACTTTTGGTTCTGATCTAATGGGCATGGATATTTGGCTGATTTATGGAGGGTTCAGTTTGTGGAAGTGAAGCAAGTTGATCGGTCACTCGGATATAATTGAACGGAGTCCATTTCGTACCTACATTATCCATTCAGTTTACACTACACACGCTAACTGATTACAGGAGGAAAGTCGTATTAAAATTCTGGAGGACAACTTTTCTTGCATTTGAAGTAGGATAATGAAACTAAGTGTATATATTGACCATTCTAAGACAAAGTACAGTGTATCAAATTTATGAACTGCAATCCCTTAATTACAGAATTATTGCTTTTGTTAAAATTGTGTGTCCAATAAAAAATCGTTTTCTGGGAACATTCATCAGTTTCATTGATACTCTTGTTACTATTATAAAATTCTATCAGGAGTTCGTCCAGAGAAAACAGAAATCAGATATATGTCTAGAAATAAAATCCTTGCCATCAACCTAGCACAAACTTTAATTAATTGTCGGTTTCATTTTTAGAGGAAAGATTCTGATAGACTGGATGATTCCTTTGACGCGGTGAGTAAACATTGTAGTTATACTTTTTGCAGCTGTCAAAGAATTTTCTAGTCAAAAGATGGCCCTTGCGAATGAAACAAATCTATTGGTCACTTTGCTGATATCAAGAAAGATAAAGGAGAACAGTTGAATGGACCTCAGTCCTGTACCAGCACAGGCTAGTGCTAATTGTTAATTGCAAATCAGCACATAGCAAGTACTTGGAAAGGAAAGAGGTGTATATATAGAAAATTTTGGAGATTCATGTTTGTTAGAGTGTACGAGGAGAGCATAATAGAAATGTGTTCAGAAACAGACTTACCTGATGTTGTTTTGCACGTATGTCTTGCTTGTTAGTGTGCTGAAGAGGGAATGATTTGAAATGATGAAGTCTGGGCTTATATATACAGTAAATGGTGCCAGTGTCAGAGTAAATGTAACTCTGTGAGCTGATGAGTGGTAGAGAAGAGTAAAAATGTTGACATGACTGACATGCCAACCATTCCGCGACCATCAAACCGTGCCAACCATTCCGCGACCATAAAACCGTGCCAACCATTCCGTGACCATTGAATCCCTGCCAACCATTCCGCGACCATAAAACCGTGCCAACCATTCCGCGACCATAAAACCGTGCCAACCATTCCGCGACCATTTAACCGTGCCAACAATTCGAGACCATAAAAGCGTATCAAACATTCCACGACCATAAAACCGTGCCAACCATTCAGCGACCATCAAACCGTGCCAACCATTCCGCGACCATCAAATCCGTGCCAACCATTCCGCGACCATTAAAACCGTGCCAATCATTCCGCGACCATTAAAACCGTGCCAACCATTCCTCGACCATCAAATTCTGCCAACCATTCCGCGACCATAAAACCGTGCCAACCATTCCGCGACCATAAAACCGTGCCAACCATTCCGCGACCATAAAACCGTGCCAACCATTCCGCGACCATTAAAACCGTGCCAACCATTCCACGACCATTAAATCCCTGCCAACCATTCTGCGACCATTTAAACCGTTCAAACCTTTCCACGACCATAAAACCGTGCCAACCATTCAGCGACCATCAAACCGTATCAACCATTCCGCGACCATAAAACCGTGCTAACCATTCCGCGACCATTAAAACAGTGCCAACCATTCAACAACCATAAACTAGTGCCAACCATTCCGCGACCATAAAACCGTGCTAAACATTCCGCGACCATTAAAACAGTGCAAACCATTCTACAACCATAAACTAGTGCCAACCATTCCGCGACCATAAAACCGTGCCAACCATTCCGCGACCATAAAACCGTATCAACCATTCCGCGACCATAAAACCATGCCAACCATTCCGCGACCATAAAACCGTGCCAACCATTCCGCGACCATCAAACCGTGCCAACCATTCCGCGACCATAAAACCGTGCCAACCATTCCTCGACCATAAAACAGTGGTAATCATTCCGCGACCGTTAAAACAGTGCAAACCATTCAAAAACCATCAACTATTGCCAACCATTCCGCGACCATTAACACCGTGTCAACCATATAGCGATGATAAAACCGTATCCACCATTCCGCGACCATAAAACCGTATCAACCATTCCGCGACCATAAAACTGTGTTAATCATTCCGCGACCATAAAACCGTGCCAACCATTCCGCGACCATAAAACCGTACCAACCATTCCGCGACCATAAAACCGTGCCAACCATTCCGCGACCATAAAACCGTGCCAACCATCCCGCGACCATAAAACCGTGCCAACCATTCCGCGACCATAGAACCGTGCCAAGCATCCCGCGACCATAAAACCGTGCCAACCATTCCGCGACCATAAAACCGTGCCAACCATTCCGCGACCATAAAACCATGTCAACCATTCCGAGACAATAAAACCGTGCCAACCATTCCGCGACCATAAAACCGTGCCAAACATTCCGCGACCATTTAACCGTGCCAACAATTCCGCGACCATAAAACCGTATCAACCATTCCGCGACCATAATACTATGCCAACCATTCCCGCGACCATCAAACCGTACCAACCATTCATTGACCATAAAACAAAGTCAACCATTCCGTGACCATAAAACCGTGCCAACCATTCCACGACCATAAAACCGTGCCAACTATTCCGTGACCATTGAACCGTGCCAACCATTCCGCGACCATTCCGCGACCATAAAACTGTGGTAATCATTCAGCGACCATAAATTCGTGCTAACCATTCCGCGACCATTAAAACAGTGCCAACCATTCCGCGACCATAAAATTGTGCCAACCATTCCGCGACCATAGAACCGTGCCAACCATTCCGCGACCATAAAACCGTGCCAACCATTCCGCGACAATTAGATCCCTGCCAACCATTCCGCGACCATAAAACTGTGCCAACCATTCCGCGACAATTAGATCCCTGCCAACCATTCCGCGACCATAAAACCGTGCCAACCATTCCGCGACCACAAAACCATGCCAACCATTCAGAGACCATAAAACCGTGCCAACAATTCCGCGAACATAAAACAGTGCCAACCATTCCGCGACCATAGAACCGTGCCAACCTTTCCGCCATAAAACCGCGCGACCATAAAATTGTGCCAACCATTCCGCGACCATAAAACCGTGCCAACCATTCCGCGACCATTAAAACCGTGCCAACCATTCCTCGACTATAAAATTCTGCTAACCATTCCGCGACCATAAAACCGTGCCAACCATTCCGTGACCATTGAATCCGTGCTAACCATTCCAAGTCCATTAAAACCGTGCAAACCCTTCCGCGACCATAAAACCATGCCAACCATTACGCGACCATCAAGCCATGCCAACCATTACGCGACCATTAAAACCGTGCCAACCATTCCTCGACTATAAAATTCTGCTAACCATTCCGCGACCATAAAACCGTGCCAACCATTCCGCGACCATAAAACCATGCCAACCATTCCGCGACCATAAAACCGTGCCAACCATTCCGCGACCATAAAACCGTGCCAACCATTCCATGACCATTGAATCCGTGCCAACCATTCCGCGACCATAAAACCGTGCCAACCATTCCGCGAGCATAAAACAGTGCCAACCATTCCGCGACCATAAAACCGTGCCAACCATTCCGCGACCATGAAACCATGCCAACCATTCCGCGACCATAGAACCGGGCCAACCATCCTGCGACCATAAAACCATGCCAACCATTCCGCGACCATCAAACCCTGCCAACCATTACGCGATCATTAAAACCGTGCCAACCATTCCGCGACCATTAAAACCGTGCCAAAAATTCCTCGACCATAAAATTGTGCCAACCATTCCGCGACCATAAAACCGTGCCATCCATTCCGCGACCATTGAATCCGTGCCAACCATTCCGCGACCATAAAACCGAGCCAACCATTCCGCGACCATAAAATCTGATCAACCATTCCTCGTCCATAAAACCAGGCCAACCATCCTGCGACCATAAAAGAGTGCCAACCATTCTGCAACCATCTAACCTCATCAACCATTCCGCGACCATAAAACCTTGCCAACCATTCCAGGATTATAAAACCGTGCCAGCCATTCCGCGACCATAAAACTGCTAATCATTACGCGACCAGAAAGCCGTATCAATCATTCCGCGACCATAAAACCGTGCCAACCATTCAGCGACCATCAAACCGTATCAACCATTCCGCGATCATAAAACTGTGGCAACCATTCCGCGACCATCAAACCGTATCAACCATTCCACGATCATAAAACCATGCCAACATTGCGCGACAATAGAACCATGCAAACCATTCCGCGACCATAAAATTGTATCAACCATTCCGCGACCATAAAACCGTGTCAACCATTCCGCGACCATAAAACCGTATCAACCATTCCGCGACCATAAAACAATGCCAACCGTTCCGCGACCATAAAACCGTGCCAACATTCCTCGACCATAAAACCGTGCCTACCATTGCGCGACCATAGAACCGTGCCAACCATTTCGAGACCATAAAACTGTGCCAACCATTACTTGACCATAAAACCGTGCCAACCATTCCCCGGCCATCAAACCGTGCCAACCATTCGACCATAGAACCGTGCCAACCATTCCGCGAGCATAAAACAGTACCAACAATTCCGCGACCAGAGAACCGTGCCAACCATTCCGCGATCATAAAACCGTGTCAACCATTCCGCGACCATAAAACCGTGCCAACCATTCCGCGACCATAAAACCGTGCCAACATTCCGCGACCATAAAACCGTGCCAACCATTCCGCGACCATAAAACCATGCCAACCATTCCGCGACCATAAAACCGTGCCAACCATTCCGCGACCATAAAACCGTGCCAACCATTCCGTGACCATAAAACCGTACCAAGCATTCCTTGACCATAAACCGTACCAACCATCCCACGACAATTAAAACCGTGCCAACCATTCCGCGACAATAAAACCGTGCCAACCATTCCGCGACCATGAAACCGTGCCAACCATTCCGCGACCATAAAACCGTGCCAACTATTCCACGACCATTAAAATCGTGCAATCCGTTTCACGACCATCAAACCGCGCCAACCATTCCGCGACCATTAAAACCGTGCCAACCATTCCGCGATCATAAAACCGTGCCAACCATTCCGCGACCATAAAACCGTGCCAACCATTCCGCGACCATAAAACCGTGCCAACCATTCCGCGACCATAAAACCGTGCCAACCATTCCGCGACCATTAAATCCCTGCCAACCATTCCGCGACCATAAAACTGTGTTAATCATTCCGCGACCATAAAACCGTGCCAACCATTCCGCGACCAGAGAACCGTGCCAACCATTCCGCGACCATAAAACCGTGTCAACCATTTTTGCGACCATTAAAACCGTGCCAATGATTCCGCGACCATGAAACCATGTCAACCATTCCGCGACCATAGAACCGGGCCAACCATTCCGCGACGATAAAACCATGCCAACCATTCCGCGACGATAGAACCGGGCCAACCACCCCGCGACCATAAAACCATGCCA